GTGTGTATATATATATATGTGCATACACCAAAGGAAATATATATATATATATATATATATATATACTCGGTTCTGAGATTATGCAATACTGACTTTTTTCTTTGAATTCTGAGTTTACATCTAGTAATTCAGTTTTTTTGTTACCGCCATGAAGTAAAAAAAGGTAACTTGTGACTTTTTAACTCACAATTCTGACTTTTTTCTTTCAATTGAGAGATTATCTAACAATACTGACTTTTTCTTATAAAATTGCAAGTTAACATCTCCTTTATGTTGTACTGACTTTATGTCTTATTTATAACTTTATATCTTGCAATTCTCTCTCTCTCTCTCTCTCTATACCGTATATACAGTGGGTACGGAAAGTATTCAGACCCCCTTAAATTTTTCACTCTTTGTTATATTGCAGCCATTTGCTAAAATCATTTAAGTTAATTTTTTTTCCTCATTAATGTACACTCAGCACCCCATATTGACAGAAAAACACAGAATTGTTGACATCTTTGCAGATTTATTAAAAAAGAAAAACTGAAAAATGCTCAGTATTTAGTAGAAGCACCCTCTTGATCTAATACAGCCATGAGTCTTTTTAGGAAAGATGCAACAAGTTTTTCACACATGGATTTGGGGATCCTCTGCCATTCCTCCTTGCAAATCCTCTCCAGTTCTGTCAGGTTGGATGGTAAACGTTGGTGGACAGCCATTTTTAGGTCTCTCCAGAGATGCTCAATTGGGTTTAAGTCAGGGCTCTGGCTGGGCCATTCAAGAACAGTCACAGAGTTGTTGTGAAGCCACTCCTTCGTTATTTTAGCTGTGTGCTTAGGGTCATTGTCTTGTTGGAAGGTAAACCTTAGTTCCAGTCTGAGGTCCTGAGCACTCTGGAGAAGGTTTTCGCCCAGGATATCCCTGTACTTGGCCGCATTCATCTTTCCCTCGATTGCAACCAGTCGTCCTGTCCCTGCAGCTGAAAAACACCCCCACAGCATGATGCTGCCACCACCATGCTTCACTGTTGGGACAGGTGATGAGCAGTGCCTGGTTTTCTCCACACATACCGCTTAGAATTAAGGCCAAAAAGTTCTATCTTGGTCTCATCAGACCAGAGAATCTTATTTCTCACCATCTTGGAGTCCTTCAGGTGTTTTTTTAGCAAACTCCATGCGGGCTTTCATGTGTCTTGAACTGAGGAGAGGCTTCCGTCGGGCCACTCTGCCATAAAGCCCCAACTGGTGGAGGGCTGCAGTGATGGTTGACTTTCTACAACTTTCTCCCATCTCCCGACTGCATCTCTGGAGCTCAGCCACAGTGATCTTTGGGTTCTTCTTTACCTCTCTCACCAAGGCTCTTCTCCCCCGATAGCTCAGTTTGGCCAGACGGCCAGCTCTAGGAAGGGTTCTGATCGTCCCAAACGTCTTCCATTTAAGGATTATGGAGGCCACCGTGCTCTTAGGAACCTTAAGTGCAGCAGAAAGTTTTTTGTAACCTTGGCCAGATCTGTGCCTTGCCACAATTCTGTCTCTGAGCTCTTCAGGCAATTCCTTTGACCTCATGATTCTCATTTGCTCTGACATGCACTGTGAGCTGTAAGGTCTTATATAGACAGGTGTGTGGCTTTCCTAATCAAGTCCAATCAGTATAATCAAACACAGCTGGACTCAAATGAAGGTGTAGAACCATCTCAAGGATGATCAGAAGAAATGGACAGCACCTGAGTTAAATATATGAGTGTCACAGCAAAGGGTCTGAATACTTAAGACCATGTGATATTTCAGTTTTTCTTTTTTAATAAATCTGCAAAAATGTCAACAATTCTGTGTTTTTCTGTCAATATGGGGTGCTATGTGTACATTAATGAGGAAAAAAAATTAACAAATGATTTTAGCAAATGGCTGCAATATAACAAAGAGTGAAAAATTTAAGGGGGTCTGAATACTTTCCGTACCCACTGTATATATATATATATATATATATACACCTTTTATGTTCCAAGAAAAAAAAAAGTAAGTACTTTCATTAGGAGGAGCTACAACTTAAGGATTATTTTATTCATAAAAAAAAAACATATGGCAAATCAAAGCACCAGAATATTGCAATATAAACGGCTTACCATGATCTAAAGAGCAGCTATGGCTCTTGATGTTTGTTGGAGAGCTCTCCTCTGGGTTCCTGTTCTCTGAGTCGAGTTTAACCGCTTGCAAGTCCATAACCTCTGCCTCCTGCAGTTTGTTCTGATTCTCATCGGAGGCTGTTAGGTAAGACGTAATGATGTCCTCTTCGGTCTGAGTTATTCTGCTCGTCTCTTTCCATCTTACAGACTTCCTCGTCTCGGACTCCTCCATAACTGCAAGGTGATCACAAAGAAGACAGACAGTCATGAAACTGAATCTATATCTTCATCAGAAGACATAGACATTTTAAAGACTTGATGTCTGTTTTTCAAATTCTTTACCCTGCTGTTCCTATCTGCCATCAGTGACAATGCATTACATTTATCATAAAATGAATCTTTTTCCTCAAAAGAATTCAGAGTGGAAACACAAGTAGGAGAGGTTTGGTGTTACTGAATATTTTTTCAAGCAGATCTCGGGCCTTACTTACAAACACAGTGTCCTAACAGTGAACCAACACTCACTTCAGTTACTCCCGAAGCCAACAGCAAGCGCAAACTGACAGGTGTGTACAAAAACACGAACCAGTTACAGCAGCGATGCATAATTCATGGGATAGGGGCTCTTGTCTTTCACTCTGTCCAGGCATTTCGAAGGACGAGCAGTGAAACCAGAGACAGAGAGATGGAAAAAGGGTGGAGTGTGGATGAGTGTCCTCATTGTAAATAAAGTGGCAATGCCAGTGTGGTAACAGAACAGGGTGTATGATGAGGTGGAAAAGGCTGAAAGAAAAGTCGAGATGTTTCTTGACACAACATGACCACAGCTGGCCTGATCGGTGTCAAGATAAACCCTTATGAAAGCTGAACAGTCTGAACATATATACAACAGGGTGAGCAAATAACAAGACATGCTGAGATTGACACTGTACCTAATGCAGCAAGAGGGCAACAGTTTTGTTTGCACAAAGTATTTATTTAATATACTAGGCATATACCGTTCAAAAGTTTGGGATTTTTTAATGTTTTTAAAACAAGTTTGTGATGCTCACTAAGGTAGCATTTATTTGATCAAAAATACAGTACTGTGAACTATTATTACAAAGTAACTGTTATAAATTTTAATACTTAAAAATTTAATTTATTCCTTTGATGGCAAAGCTGAATTTTCAGCAGCTATTACTCAAGACTTCGGTCTCACACAATCCTTCAGAAATGATTATAATATGTAGATTTTTATCAAAGTTAAAAATTTTCTTTTTTTGTGGGAAATGTGATATATATTTTTTGATGAATATAAAGTTCAAAATAGCATTTTTTTGAAAAAAATATTTTTGTAACAATGTAAAAGATTGTCATTTTACATCAATTTAATGTAGTTGGCAGCAATAATGTAAATTAAAGAACTTCAAATCTGAACCTTTATGCTGTTTTTTTATATGGAAACATATTTCAGAATAGTTTATATTATTTCAAGTACCTTGAGGTACCATATAAAAATTGCATTTTATTGGTTGTGACGCTATTATCTAACAGGCTAAGTGTTTTTTTGTTGAAAATCACAGTCACAGCTAATAACCACTTTTAGAGTGCACTATACCATGAATTAACATAATTTGACAGGCAAAAGTTATTAGTGTGTCCAATAACCTGCTAAGTTAGATGTCAGGACATGCTTATGTTTAACAGCAGTCAGGTTTTCACATGCCATAGGAAAATTTTAAATAAATAATATCCTAAATCTGAACCCTTTGTGAAGAAAAGAAAAGAAAAAAAAGAAAAGAAAAGAAAAAAAAGGCATGTGTTCTCTGGCCCTTTTGGTCAACTTTGAAACTTGTAGCTTATTTAACTTCTAATGATTTTACACAATTTTGAATTAATGAGTCTGCTAAATGACTAAATGTAAATACAAACGGCTTAGAAATCCAACATCATAACGTGAATTGGTCATTTTGGTACATTTATATATATCCCTTACTTCTCCTAAAAATCTAGTTTTGCATACATAGTCTACCTTAGCTTGCACACAAATAGCCTACACATCGTTGAAAGATGGTGTAAAGGGCGCGTGCTTTAGTGTCGCGTACCCATTTCACAGCGTCTTGGCCTTTATCACGGTTTTATTTTCATCAGAACCATTTCAAGACGAAACACAGAACACACGACTCACTGAAATATCCCTGTCGTACTTACGTTTAGTTTCTGTATTGATGTTACAATGGTCCGCATCTGTAAACGCGCGCATGCGCAGCGTTCATATCTGTTCTCAGAGCTGCTCAAGCAGAGACCCCAGACCCCTCTCTGTCAAACACACACCGATCTGAAATCAGTTTCGATGCCCTGCCTGTCTCTGCATCTGTGCAGTTGTTTACGATCCAAACAGGGGCGTTTCTTTTCAAGGTTTCGGTCTTGCTGGGCGTTTAGTGCCACCCATCGGTTCATATGGGGCACTGACATTGGAAATGTGTTTGGAGAAAGATCAAATTGGACATAAATTGTAGCATGTTCATTTTAAAACACATTAATTCGTTTCAAATGTCAGTTTCTATTTACCCACAGAATGTATGATTACTATAGCTGCATAAAAATATATTATATTAAATAGCCTATACTACAAAAATGTTTTAAATATACTAGGCCTATATATTATATAGCCTATAATGCTGCAATATTTAGTCTTATACACAAGGCTAGGCCTGTGTTTTTATAAATTACCTCATACTACATGCATTTTATGACTGAATAGTCTTCACCAACTTTGCAAAACCAAACAATATCCAATAATGTTATAATAAGCAATGAACTCCTCTGAATATTTCCTTCAATTATGAATTAAATTACTCATCATCAACAACAACAGGAAAAAGCTGGTATAAAGCAAAAGTCTTGTGTTCAGTTTCAGTAATCCATCAGCATCATATCCAAAGCTATTCAAAATATTTTCAGAACTCTTTCTCCAAAATATAAATAATCTATGTGCTGACATTACAGCTCTGAGGGCAAACATGAAATGGACGTTAGAAAATGTAGGAACTGGAGCAGAAAGTAAACGCAACCCTTGAAACATGAAGTCATTACGGTGAGCTGCTGCATGTCTGTACTGTGTCTGACTTCATAATAGGGAAGTTTTTATCCTATTGTACCATCTGAGTGAACTCTGCATTTCATCTCATCCAGGTAATATGTTTTGACAGCACAATGAGCTGATCAGTTGACTCACTGCAATATGTCTGAATGTTTTAGCAATTCTCTGTGAAAAACACAAACCACAGTTTTTAGTGTCTGTTTTTTAAGAAAGTCATGTCATGTTTCTCTTTCGATGATTACAGTGGGTATTAATTATATAAATAAATTATTACAATTTCAGTAAAAACATTGCTTAATTTAAATAAAAACATATAAAGTGAATAACAACCTTTTATTAGCACATACACAATAAGGATCAAAGGCATTTACAATAAACGTGACTTGCAAATTATTTGCTTTTAGTGCAACAAAATATACACTGGGTGTTAAAAATGACTTCTTTACAGTGTTTTACAACCTTGAAGGTGACTATAACTCTTTAAGTAAAAGTTGCTTTTACAGAGGTAATTTTATCCCCAAATAAAGGCCACTTTTAAACTTGGCTTAAGCATTTTTTTGTTTCACACTAGTAATTTTGAAAAGGAATGGGTTACTATGTTTAAACTTGCAAAATGAATTCCAAAAGTAGGCCTAATATAGCCTACTGTGTGAAACAATAAGGTGCTAGAATGTTACAGCGAGTTGTTTAACAATAGATAGCACATCGTAAACAAAAAAAATACTTGAGAACGAAACAGATTAAAATGTTGAACATTTTTACAGATGGACAAACTTTACAGGTCACATGCACAATTGCATGCTGTAGGCTACGCTGTTAAAATGTCGTTAACCTAGTAAATATGCCAGTAAGAAAGTTAACCCAGGATTTGCAAATGTGCAATTGGAAATCCTGAACCCCGACTACCCAGAATTAACATTTGAACAGTAAAAAAAAACCATGGGTTAACAATTTCAGACAGCAGTCTGCAGTCCAATATGTTGTTTTGACCTTCTCTGTGCTAAAGCTAACAACACAAACACTGACAGCAAATTAGATTTCAAGTAGAGCCTGAACAGCATTATTGGAAGCTTTCTTATAATGTGATGATTTTGAGATGGTTAGAGGATTTGTACGGAGCTCCTCAAGGAACATGAAGATAAATAAAATGAGAAGAAATCAAAATATATATTTCAATGTTTTTGCGTTCTCCCGAGTTCGCTCACAGATCTTTGTAATGGAAATAATATGATGTGGGAGTAAAAACTATATTCCATCTAGCGAACGCTACGTTTTCAGACCACAAAAGCATTTTTCCTCCCTTCTCATTTTTTTCCATCACTATGTCCCCCTAGTTGCTCCGTATATTTGCACGCATATCATTTAATATTTTGCATAACAGGTAAAAGTGGTCATGTAAAATCTTGGCATGCTATATTCCTGCGAACGCTGTATGATCTATCGTGGGCCGATGTCGTAACTTTTGTCTGCACTTGGGTGTAACATCAAAGCTGGTGACCATCAAGACATGTGCTTTGCAGAGGTTAACATGACGCTCTAGCCGTTGAGTGACTTGCTCCAAAGCCTCTAAGTGCTCCAGGGAGTCTACCTCAAACGTTTGCCATAAGTCAACTGCAAAACACATCACACAAATAGCATAATAATTAATGATGACACAGTAAGCAGAACCATAACAACCTACAGTTTGCTGTCCTACTGCAGTGCTTAATTTGACTTAATATACATAAGCAAACATGTTAACCCTTACATTCACGGGTCCATTTTCCAGGGTCCAACATCAGATGATGCTTGGCATGTTCCAACTCTTGCCTGAGAGCATTATACCTGAGTCTCACCTCTGCTATTCTCTGCTGTCGATGCTCCAAGAATTTCAGCTTTGCACTAAAGAGGACTATACCCTGAAAACGTGGATGACAAAAAGTAAGTTTGCCTCCATATAAAATGTGAGTGAGCTGACACCACAGGGTTTTATATTAAAGTAACACTACAGTTTTTCTAACACTTTTTAGCATTTCAAATCAGACACTGTATTCAGCTATCTTGACCCACAAAGCCATCAAATACACAGATACACTGAATTACACACTGTGAAATTTATTTAAAGCATAGGACCATGACCGCTTACTACAATGAATGAGCAACTACACATTGTAAACTCTACAAAATAAGACTAGCCTACTACATAAATTAAAGTGAAAAATAAGAACAGAAAAAAAAAACATACATTCCTGAACATACAGTTTTGGTTTTGTGATAACAATATTGTTTTGATGAAATTAAGCACCATTTGAGGAAAAGTATCTTTACTACTTGAAAAAAAAATTGTACATGAAACATTATATATGAGAACACATCATTGTCAAAATTTCCTCAATGTGTACAATACATTATTGAATAAATACTTAAATAAATGTTTGAATGAAAACTATACAAATAACATATTTGAAAAACAAAATAATGTAAAATATTTTCTAAATATTCAACAAAAAGTTGCATATTTTTCAGTAATAGAAAAAATAGTATGTATAAACAATGTAAAATCACATTTATTCTGAATCAGTATATTGTTTCTAGTCTGAGTCAGAGTTAAAAAAAACTAAAAACAAAACAATGAGCGTTTGAAGTTTTCTTAATGCTGGAATACATTACACAACTTTTAAAATCAGAGCAGATTTCAGCATTTACAGGTCATTATAAACACAAACTTGCACTTAAAACTCTGACTGCTTTGACTTTTGCCAACTAACGGACTGCAGGACTGCAAATTGGGTAAAAATTTAGGCAAAAGTCATCTAGGATAACCCAGCCTTTACTTCTAGAAAACAGTGTTGCGAGTCAAGATAATTGCCTAAAGAACAGATTTTTGTGTCTAAGCAAATCAGAAAGCTGTACGAGTTGAATCAAGCACTACCAATTTAATGGACCATACAACGACAGCAGTTTGTGAATGAAGTACAAAGCAGACAGACAGACAGAATTTTTTTTTTCATTGACACATTTTGAACCTCACCTTGTTCCCTGCCCCACCTCTCTTCTGTACGCCATTTACATTATCAATCTCATAGACTTTAATTTCATAAGAGTCAGAACCACCCCGATCCACCCGGTGCGTTTTAGGCCCACTGACAGATCTCTTCAGTGACATGAGGTTGTCTTGAGATGGACGTCTTAGACTGGACCCTGTGGACAAAGACAGGTGAAGACCATATTGTTTTTTTTTATGCCAGAATGCATTGATTAAAAAAAACTCCTTACCTATGTTGGTTCTTTTCTTGTTACTTCTCATGCCTTTAGCAGCACCGAGCGAGCAGCTCTGATCGCTGATGGAGTTGTGCGTTGAACTGCTGCTGATTGTAGCTTCACTGTCTCTCAGCATGCTTTCATAGCCACTACTGACCATACTGCTCCTGTTATAGAGTAAAGCCGTTTTACACATGGCAGGAGGCAGCTCTCCACTGAGAACACTGGTGGTATCACTGGCATGGCCGCTGCAGTGGTGTGGAGTCCGTGGAGCTGTGATCCGGCTATACGGGGATGGCAATGTGTGAACGAAAGGTTTCATCATCCCCAGTTCCTCACATTCATCTAAATCAGACCCACCTTGACTAAAAGCAGAAAGAGAATCTCTACTGCTTCTTAAAAGCTCAACTCTTCCTTTCCGGACTGCACCGGGTGACTTCAAACTGCCGTTGTCTTGACTTCGGGATAGAGAGTGTATTGACCAGGAGCTCTGGCTGACAGGTGCTCCGTTAGGAGAAAAGCTTGAGCTCCGGTTGATCGAGTGTCTAGTGGGTTTGGGAGACAAGTCTGGCATCTTGTGGATCTTTGAACTGGGCATGAATTTATTAATGGTTGTGGTCTTAGAGTGACCGTTTTTTGATGGCCGGGTTGGATCATTGGCATCGTGCATGGGGAAGAACTGTGGAACCCTCCCGAGACTCTGGCTAGCTCGACACCTTACAAAGTCCTCAAAGTCTTCTTTAAAACCTAGCGGGCTGGGTTGTGCTGAAATATAATCTTCATCTAAAAGGCCTTTCGGAGCCATATCGATGAAAGCAGTCTCTTCAAGGAACTTGCTTTTAAGTCTTGAGCTAGAATTACCTTCCAAGCTTCCTGTTGAGCGCCCGCTCTTACTGTGATCCCATGTTTGGCTCCTGCCGGATAATGCTTTCAGTTTTGCATTAAACAACTTGCTGCTCTCCTCAAAATGAGATTTAGTGTTGGTCGTAGTTTCAGTAGCCATGTTTATCGTTGCATTTCTGGCTATT